ACATTGAATACTGCAGCATTATGATAACAAGTACTCTAAATTGGCCCAGTGTTGATAACCCCAACACTCAAAGCTCAGAAGGGAAGATTATGAGTTTGAGGACAGCCTGGACTACATAGTGAGTTGTAGGCCAGTTTGCATTATATAGGGAGATGTTGTCTAAAAAGAGTAAACTGAATTGCTATTGTTTTGACAGATAAAAAATTCTTACAATTTCATTGCAACAATAATTATAAAATAAAACGATCAAAATATAGTGATATTACTAAAAATTACTGTACCATCACTAAAATGCCACAACATTATTATTACTATTACAGTATTTCATTAGTATAAAATTTTAGCTTGGGTGGCGTCATTACCAGGATCAGGTTGGATGATAAGTGAGAAATCAAAAGGATTTGCTGGGAGGTGTGACTAGGGAGACTGGGACTTAAGAGAACTGTCACAAATGCCCCATTATCCATGTACAGGGAGTAGGCAGTGTGTCCCACTTGCAGGTGAATATGAAGAAAGAAACAGGATTCTAGGATCAGCCCTCTACCTCATTAGTTGTCTCTGAGGCTTCCATGAAGAGTCATATATTAGACAGACAGAGAAGTCACTTCACACACGTTCCATTTTTAGCCACAATGAAATAGATTTCATATTCTCTGGCCAGGACAACTATCAGAGCTGATAAAATGCAAAAACAAAAGTGAAAAGCTGTATGAAAGCATTAAAAAGCCTCAGGGTTCATAAAAACAAATTTATTTGTCTCTATACATAAAAATGTATAAAGTAGGGCTACAGATGGCTCAGTGGTTAGGAACACTTCCTGTTTTACTGGAAGACCCAAGTTTGGCTCCCAGAAATTACAACTGCCTGTAACTCCAGGTCCAGAGAGTCTGATGTCCTCTTCTGGCCACTGTGGGCACCTGCATTCATGTACACATACCCCCACACAGACACAAATACATACATATAATTTTAAATAATAATAATGAATCTTTAAAAAAATTTACAAAGTAATTCTCTAAAATTTTGAGTGTCCAAAATCGTGCAAAGGGTAGTCTCTGTGAAAATAAGAAAAAGATAACTAGAACATTCTTCCAAATGTTGAAGAACATAAGACCTCATTTCCACATAGCTTATGGTTTAAAATACATTAGAAGCTTCTTTTGTACTGAAATATGTTCAAGAAATTTATATCATGTTAACAAGTTAGGAGATGCTGACATAGGACCATGAGGAAAAACTGTAGCAGATCATGTTCACAAAGTGAATGTTCAATGTGGCTGATTCTTTTCAAGTTTATGTGTGGAGCTTATGCAATTTCTCTAAAAGATTTAGCAGTTTTGTGCCAAAATGATACTTAAATTTATTTTTAAATCTAAGGGCCATACTGGTACAATAATGGCACAGATGTTATGGGAGTAACCAACTATTTTCTGCTTAGATTTAAGGCCTGCTTCACAAGATGGAGCCCATACCTGGCACTGTTATCAGGGCCAGGAACCTGTGGCTAGGTAGGGGAGAACCTATTACTATTATTTTGCTAAATAGAGTATTAAACTGACTTCTAATGACTTATGGATATCCCCATAGATTAGTGCATCTCTCAACTCTCACCACAGACACTTCTTGCAACAGATGGATTAACATAGAGACCCACAGTTGTTCAATGTGCAGAGAAAAAGAGATTGTGGAGTGCTCAGTCTTAAATAGGACACCTATATTACACCTCCTCCCAAGAATGAGGGATCATTGAGGAAGAAGGAACAGAAAATTGTAAGAGCTAAGAGCCAGATGTGATAGACAAATGCAAGGAAACTCTGTTGTCTGGACACCGTAGGGTAGTTGTACGTATGAACCCACAGCATGTGTAAGACCTATGCAAGTCCAAGTCAGACAAAAACCTAGCATGGATGGGGAAGATGGACAGGAAGACCCAGCCCTAGACGAGAATCTATTGACAAATGGTAGCTGCTGGGAGAGGGAGAGTCAGTTTTCTTTACTGGTGTGAAGCCTGGAGGGTTGAGCAGACTCTAAGGGATAGCCTACACACAAGAGCATTTGAGGAACACAAGTGAGACTCGATAGATCTTTAAAAAATAATAATGAGGGGGGGCTGGAGAGATGGCTCAGTGGTTAAGAGCACTGACTTCTCTTGCAGAGGACCCAGGTTTGATTCCCAGCACCCACATGGCGGCTGCGAACCATCCTTAACTCCAGTTCCAGGGGAATCTGAAGTCCTTTTCTGACCTCTGCAGCATTGTATGACACAGGTGCACTCACTTACATGCAAGCAATATGCTCATACACATAAAATAAAAATAATAAATAAAATATTTTAAAAAATAATGGAAGACATTAAGTTGGGCAAGGGTACAGATAGGGGGTCTGAATGTGATCAAAATACATTGCACAAAATTCTCAAAAATAATAAAAAAAATCTGAAGGACCAAAAATAATGGGAAATGTAAAGGTTAGAAACAAAGATGAAGTTAGATCACCCATAACATATATTTTAAAGTCACAATAGTTAAATACTGTGGGTTTTTCTTGGGACTATAATAGAGAATCCAGAAACAGACTCAAATATGTAGACACCTAATTTTGAACAAGGGTGCTTCTGAAATTCAGTGAAATTTTTTTTTCAATCAATGGCTTTCTTATAAATAAGAACAGTTTCTAAGCCATTTTACTTCTCAAAATAAAATTTGGGACAGTGAAATGGCTCAGGAAGTAAAAGTGCTTGTGGCCAAGCTTGATGATCTGGATTCAGTCCCTAGAGTCCACATAGAGGAAGGAGAGAACCAACCCCTACAAATTGTCCTTCAACCTCCAAATTTGCATCATATGACATGTGTACCCACCCCTTTAATAAAGAAATAAAACTTGAAAAATAAAAATAACCATTACTTCTGTTTTACACTAATCATAAAAATCAAGTCAGCCCTGATTGAAGTAAACCTAAATCTAAAAGGTAACACACCACACAAAGGCAAAACAAATGAGAATGTCATCATAACTGTTCTGACAAATACATTTTACACAGAATGTAACAAGCACCAATAACAAATAATTGATAAATTAAGTTTCATTATAATTATAAATTTCCATTTATCTGAAGAGTTCATCAGAGGAGGGAAATACAAGCCTCAATTGTGAAAAAATATGCAAAATTCACATATCCAACCAAAGATTTGTATATAACTTAATGATTAATAAAGGTGGTTAAAAAATCCCCCCAAATAAAACAATGGGTAAAGTGCTTGCAGGAACCCCTTATTGGGGAGGGGCAGAGGTGATGGGCTGGTAAATGGGAAGATGTTCACCATTCAACATCAAGGAGGTGAACACCAAAGTCACAGCATGATAGACAGCCACCATAATGGCTAAACATTTTTTAATAAAAGAGTGTTAAATATTGTGAGGATGAGGATGATGATATAGTCACCCTCTTCCTGAGGTAGGAACAACTTAAGACCCAAATGGTTTTACCATTTGGAAAACTGACTGGCCACTGCAGTGAAACCTACATACAACCTTCATGTCAGAAATTCTCCATGGGTAAATATCAACTGAAATTGATATGCACAGGCATGTATAAAAATGCTTGAAGCAGCATTAGTTTAAAACTCAACTTTCTATCATCTGAAGAACAAATAAATTGCAGCTATGAAATGGGGTGTTATTGCTGTATGCAACATAAATGAGTCTTAGAAATATAAAACAGAGCAAAAGAATCCAGATACAAAAGAGCTTATGCTCTGTGATTCTATTTATGGAAAGTTTAAAGATGACAAATGCAATAAAAGTTGAAATAATGATAACTATTTCTGGAGAAGGTCTTGACTATAAGGGGGAGGAATGAAGGTTTCAGAGCTGTTTGCAATGGTCTAACCAGAGGAGAACCCAGATAAGGGCCTTCCAGCTTCACTCACTCTGAGGTGACTCTAAAAATGACCAGATTTGGAGTTCATGTGGTGGAGCAATACATTCTTAGCTTCCTGTCACACTTGATATGTTCATGGGGACCCATTTTGAGTTTGCAGGGATTCTTGTGTAAACTCAAATCCTTCCCTGGCTTCAAAGATTTCATGAGAACTGAGCTCTGAAAACACCCCACGTGGAGACCAAGGCTGGAGGCCTTGTGGGGTGTTTCATCTTGCTGCCTTCTGAGTCAATTGGAAGAAACCAAGAATGCGAAGAAGAAAAAACAGTGGGGGACCTGGATGAGCCTCAGCTATGAGATTCAAAAAGTGGATGCCAGTGGCCCAATGCCACTGGGTAGGACAAGGAGACTCACTGAGGATACTGCCTCGTCTCCAAGCAGGGATACCCAGCAGCAAGGACATTTTCACTGGTTCTCCGATTTTAGTTCTTTCTACAGGTAGTTCGGATAATAAACGTTGAGTAAAATTTTTATTTACAAATTTCTAAAAATTATTTGGTATTGAGAGTCCAGTTGGATAAGATCATAGCAAAAGAAAGTTAAATCAGGATGATTCTCAGTCTTGCTGAAATTGTGGACACTCTGCAAAGTGGCAGGGTGAGAGGTGTTTTCTATGGGTTTATGCTAAAGTCAGGAATCTCACAGTGCTTCAGAGATTTTCTACAGCCAACCATATCATTGAGAACTGTGGCACAAAGAGAATTTCCATGTGACGGGAAAAAGAGAAATGGAAATCTAACATTTGCTTTCGTGGAGGTAGAGCCTTTCTTTAATCAAATCACTGAAGGGCACAGAGAAGAAAAAATTCTCCTTTTAATTAATTATCATTTAGTGGCCAGTAGATTTGCATAAACTAATATACACTGCTTTAAACAATCCCAGTAGCATTGGTTAATAGCTTCCTCACTTAAAAGCTATAATTGGGCTATTTTTCAAAGGAGAAATAAGAAATGTACTAAGTAGAGAGTACTGAAGAGAGAGAAATCATATATTATCTCAGTTGAAATTCAAAGTATCTAACAGACTATCCATGGTAAAATAGTGTCAACCTTGGCCTTACCCTTTAATTTCAAGGCTTCTAATACCTTTGAATCAGCCGTCACATCGCTCACTAGCTTGATTTCAATATTTTGCGAAGTCAGTTGGAGCAATTTCTCAAAAAGACGTTGACCCTGGAAAAAATATTCAGAGACAAAGAGAGAAAACCTAAATGTTTGCTATTTCAAGTTGGCACATACAAATTCTTAAAATTTAAAGTTATGCATTCAGTTTGTAAAAGGCAAGTATTTTAATAACAGATAGTCACAGATCTGTGAAATTTTCTCAGGAGAGTTTATGTAACTAGAACAGAAACATGATCATAGATTGCTTTCTGGCTTTTGGGGCATCATGTAGTTCAACAATCACCACAATAATATTTCAGTGCCACCATGTAAATCTACTTTCTTTTTAATTTTAAATCTGTAGTTGTCTATGTATAAATAGGCAGGAGAGAATATTTAATAGTTGCATTTTGGTCCAGAAAAACCAACTGGCTTTCCAGTTTAGAAACTGTTTCTTAACCTCACCTCTTCTTATCATAAAATGGAGCTGGTCTGTTTTTATGGGCTTTTCGGGTTTGTTTCTATGGACAAGGGTCAGACAGACAATAATGCTTGGGTCTTAATGGCCCCAAGTGGATCATTTAGACTTACCATTCTTTGATAAAAGGTCTGTGGCTGGATGCTAATGATTATATAAAGGATTTGGTGATTGGATGGAGCTGATGAAGCAAATGAGGATACAAATGAGGATTCAAGAAATAGTTCCTGAAATTATTTGTTATGGACAAAAAAGGTCAAAGATTAAAAACCTAACACTCCTTGGAGCAGAATATTGGTGGTGTCTTCTTTTCAGGTGGAGAAAGGTAAAGACTGAAGCATTAGGCAGCTTCCTAGTCACCCCTTAGGATAAATGGAAAATGGGTTCCTTGTCAATGCCTCTTAGGGAGCAAACAATTGTGGGTCTCTTGAGTGATATGAGAATCACCCCTCAGAAGCCTTTGCTCCTTAGACTCTGACTCTGCTGATAATTGATCGCCTTCTTGGCCCCACACTGTTTGGCTTGGGAGATCCAAAGAAGCCCTAGCTCAGAGTGGAAGGGTGCTAGAGACCTGATAATAGCCTCCTTTCTGCTGTCAGCTGTCACCATGGTGTAAACACACCAGCTCCTAACAAATATTCTCCTAGTTAATTTCAGTATATTTAATGGGACCCAGCAAAACGAGAGTGGATCACTGAAGGACATTTGGAGACACAAATTAGGCTTTATAGGCCATATATATTAAAGTACATTAATAATATCAGGAGAGGTGGGGATAGGGGATGGAATCTAAATACCATCAAATTAAATTATATTATATGAATTGTATTATATAAGTTATATTATATTGAATTGCAAAATTCAATACAAAATGTAAAAAAACACAATGTGAAGCCAATGGGGGAAATAAATTGTAGATAACTCATTATAGAAGGAGAGAGAGAGAGAGAGAGAGAGAGAGAGAGAGAGAGAGAGAGAATGTTTGAACACTACTGTGATTTGAATGCTGAATGTCCACCAAAGACTCATACATCACAGGTCTGGTCTCCAATTTGAGAGGAGATGGTTATGTTTAGGAGGTGGGTCTAGGGGAGGTCTTCAGGTCTTGAAGGGAGTCGGGTTCCAACCCTTCCCTCTTCTCTCTTTATTACTTCCCAGACAACAGTTAGATAGTATTGCTCTGTCACAAGCTTCTGAATTAGGGCCAACTGACCATGGCCTGGAGCTTCCAACACTGAGAGCTGAAATAAGCCCTTGGTCTTCATAAATTGGCTACCTCAGGTGTGCATGACGGTGATGGAAAACTGGCTAACACAGACATAGTGGGCAGACCTGATGACACAGGCCATTGTAAAGACAGGAGCCAGGGCAGAACTACAATGTGTGCTTTCCAGGATGACTTGAGGTGGCTGGGACTGACACTATGACCTCAGAACTGACTTAGTAGACCAGTAAAGAATACTATGGCCCTTATTGAAGCCCAAGTCAGTGATCTGAGGACCAAATGTTAAAAATATCTCAAAGCAGGGGCTAAGAGATGGTTCAGTGGTTAAGAGCACTGACTGATCTTGCAGAAGACATGGGTTCAAATTCTAGCACCTACATGGCAGCTAACAACTACCTGTAACTCCAGCTTCAGGGGATCTGATGCTCTCTTCTGGCCTCCATGGGCATTGCATGACATGGGTGCACTTACATGCAGGCAATACACTCGTGCATATACAATAAAAATTTAAAAAATTAAAAAAGAAATATCTCAAAGCAGTCATGTATATGTACATACATGTGTACATGTATACACATATGTGCACACACATGCACACATGCTTGCACATATATAAGGAGAATAAGCAGAAGGCTAATAGACAAATTAAGGCTATATGAGGCTAATCAGTACATTGGAAGAACAAAAAGCAGAAAGAATAAGTCTGTGGTAGAAAAAGAAGTTGTCCAAGTTGAGGAAAGACGTAAATCAAAGAAAAAACTGAAAAGATTCTGGAAGGTAAAGGCATGCGTGATGTAGTGAGGACACACCTCGGCACCTTCTATAAAGCAGCTCAACATCAGGGAGAGAAACCCTTACAAATCTCTGGCCAAAGGAAAGAATAAAGTTACTTAGAAAGGAAAATATATCAGACTTGCCAGGAGGCAGCCATCTGCAGACGTAGACCAAGAATCAAGTGCCATACCCGAACTTTGCAAATGAGGGGGAAGGAAAGAATATTTGTATATGCAGAGATGTGGAGACTGTATTGCCTCGATGACCAACATAAGAGATTTAAGAAAGGACTCTAATCAAACAGTAAATAACTCTGAGCATTGCTACAGAAGGTGGAGGGACAAAGGAAATGAGCTGGAACAGTAATGTATTACTATTTAATAAATTTGTTAAATAAGGATTCTTTTTCAAAAACCAGTCTATTTATTGGTTTTATTTTATATGTATGAGTATATTGCCTGTATGTATGGAAGTGGACCTGCATCGTGCAATGCCTGCGAAAGTCAAAAGAAGGCATCGGATCCCCTGGACCTGGAGTTACGGACAGTTGTTAGCCTCCATGTGAGTCCTCGGATTTGAACCTAGGTCCTCTGCAAGAGCAGCCACTGCTCTTAACCACTAAGCTATCTCTAAAGTCTCTAAATCAGGATTCTTAATAGAAGAGTTGCATTATTTAAAAGAGGAGCAGGTGCAACAGGGCCCTGCAACAACGGACCCTAAGGAATTAAGGTTTCTCCAGGAAATCCCATGCAGGGGTGAGTCTTGATGTCACAGGAGCAGCTGTCATCCAGGAAGTGACTGATCATCTTGTGGTTCTGACAATTTACCTCACAGCCAAACCTACACATGCATATTCCCTGGCTTTTGTTTCATTTTTTTCTACACATGCTAATGCTACCATAGGAGATAGACAGCAACTAAGAATTTTTCTCCCTTTGATTGTGGTCCAAACTGTAAATTAACCCTTCTAGCTTTACTTATTCCTGTCTCCAAGTTGTCTTTTGAAATGGTAGTGTCCAACAGATTCTAGTCTCTGTTAAAAATGATCAGAAGTACTGAGAACCTGTATTATGGACATTTTTGTGGGATGATAGTGCCCCAAAGAGGCTGGAGTGAGGATGAAAGAATGTTACTCTATTATTTAAAAACAGTTACGGGGTTGAAGGCACAACTCAGTGGTTAAGAGCACTGGCTGCTTTTACAGAGGACCTAGACTTGGTTCCCAGCACCTATGTGGTGGCTAACTACTGTCTGCAACTTCAGTTCCAAGGAATCTGATGCCCTCTGTTTCTTCAGTCATTGCCCACATGGGTTCATTTATATGCATATGGGCAAAGCATACATTAAAAAATTTAAGTTAAATATATAGTACATAGACACCCTATCTGTGATATTGAAATTTCACAGACAAAAAGAGTTCAGGAAAATAAATGTCTTTGAAAGACTCTTAAGTTACTATTGGCAATCAATGAAAACAGTACCTACCACAAAATAATAATTCAAAATACATCTCCCTAAACTGAGCAAATCTAAAGGCAAATAAATGAAGATACACGAAAAATAAATGAGACTATCAATAAACTTGATTATGTATTCACATCTGTGCACAATTCTTGCTATGAGTCAAACTGCCTCAGAATAAGTTTTAATTATCTGTGAAGTATTTGTAAAAGTCTGTTGTGTAGCTGCCGTTAGGAAAGCCTTAGGCCAGGCATGGTGGTATACGCCTATAGTCCCAGCACTGGGGAGGCAGAATCAGGTGGATCTCTGTGAGTTCAAGGCCAGCCTGGTCTTCATAGTGAGTTCCAAGTTAGTTGGGGCTACAGGGAGACCCTGCCTCAAAGGAAAAAAGAAAAGAAAAAGTCTTAACAGGGGCTGGACAAATGACTGCTCTTGCAGAGGACCCAGTTTCAGTTCCCAGCACCCTCACATGCCTAACAACCATCTGTAACTCCAGTTCCATGGGAAATCTAATGCCCTCTTCTGACTTCTGCAGGCATTGCACAACGCAGCCTGGTCTTCATAGTGAGTTCCAAGTTAGTTGGGGCTACAGGGAGACCCCGCCTCAAAGGAAAAAAGAAAAGAAAGAAAGTCTTAACAGGGGCTGGAGAAATGGCTGCTCTTGCAGAGGACCCAGTTTCAGTTCCCAGCACCCTCACATACCTAACAACCATCTGTAACTCCAGTTCCATGGGAAATCTAATGCCCTCTGCTGACTTCTGCAGGCATTGCACAACATGGGAGTACATATACATACATGCAGGCAATACACTCATACACATGAAATAAAAACAAAAATAATAAATGAAATATTTATTTAAAAAAGAAAGTCATAACCATAGTCATAATAAGGTAGTCTATATACCTTATTCTCCATTCATAACCTAACAAAATGATGGGAAGCTTGAAGCAGAGCAATAAGGAGATCTCTCTTTGTGTTCATAAAAGTTTAAAAAATTTTAAGGGTATCAACATTTCTTCTTGTCATTCAGTTGGGAAAAGACATGCTAGCACTGCATCTGTACACCCAGGAATGTCAATCTATCACTCAGAAGCAAACCCCCCAATGCGTGCATAGGTGGATGTGTGCAG